CGGGATGTCAAAAGACCGCATGGCCGCCCACCTACCAGATGGTCAGACTTCTTCATCAAGATCATGAACGATCAGTTTGAGGCTCTTCATGTTCCCAGAGTGAACAGATGCCGTTTGGCTACACTAGCACGTGACAGGGACAAATGGAGATGTTACTGGCGCCCGCTTGAGCAAATCGACGACTAATGGGAAGTTAAGTGATTAAGTGAAGTGAAGATGTGACTTTTGATGACCACTACATGCTTAGCTCTCTCCTAATGCCATTCTGTTTTCTTGCCACCTGCTCCAAAATTCTGGATGGCTGCTGCTGCTGCTGCTTACTTTTAATCTCTACCTAGCTAAATTAGTAAGTCATTCATGTAAAGATGCATTATATACCAGACCCTGTCCTTAATGGTTCAAAAACGCTAGACCTCAAAACAATGATTAAAAAGTGACTGTCATTAGCTTATCTTTCTCACTTGCTTCTCATCTTTCTTTGCTCTCCTTCTCCTCTTTGTTCCTCACCTCCATTTCCCACCCCTTATGTTGAAGGGATTTCCTTTTTTAAATATATTTTTTAATTGGGGGAGTATCTACATGTTACTCAAAGACCACTCCAGCTGCACAGGACAGGGGGACATCAGACTACACCAGCAGTGCTCAGAGGCCTCCAGGATTACACCTAGATGTGCCGGGGTGTGCAAGGGGCAAGACGGTAGGGAGAATGTCATATGGTGATGGAATTGAACCTGAGCTGGCATGTGCAATACATGTGCTCAAATGCCTGTACTGTTTACCCTGTCCCTGAGGGATTTTGTTAATGTCTGAAGCCTTGTTCTGAAGTGAGTGCTATAGAGATGTGGGGAATGCTTATATGCAATACTGAATTCATTTAAACTGGCTGCCTTTCCTGAGATTCCCACATTGTGGGGTCAAGTGCTCCATGGAACCTAATGGAGACTATGCTCAGTGAAATCAAAACCCTATATGCACAAAAGACCAGAAACAATAAGTATGGTTTGGGATGTGGAGAAAACAGAATCCTCGTACTCAGTTGATGAGAATGTCAATTGGTTCAACCTGTATGTGTGAAAAGTAGTATGTAGAAAAAGAGAACTACCATATGATTCTGAGATTCCATCATAGATATATATCCAAGAACACAAATACACAGAATAAAAAAGATATATGAATGCTGCATAGAAATAACTCAAGTGCCAGCAAAGATAAGTGATACATAAATGCAATGAAATACTACTTAACTATAAAAAGAAATGAAGGCTTATCTTTTGTGACAATATAGGTGGAACTGGAGAGGGTCATAAGAAGTGAAATAATTCATAAGGAGAAAGATAAATATTGGATGGTTTCAATCATATTATATGTATATGATATATATATATATATATATATATATATATATATATATGACACCACCATTCTTCCTGCACTAACATATGCCTCAGAGATCTGGGCCCTATGAAAACAGGAGAGAACACTGTTTGGGTATCCCAAAGAGGAATCAAAAAAGCTATGCGGGAATATCACATTTCACTCAAATGAAAGAAGGAATCCGGAGTTCCGATGTTCGTCGATGATCAAGAATCAGGGATGCTGTTCCTTTGCGAAAGCATGGAAAATCAGATGGGCCAGACAAGTAATGCGATTCGGAGATGACCGCTGGACTAGAGCTGTTACTGACTGGAATCCACAGGACGTCAAAAGAACACGTGGCTGTCCACCTACGAGATGGTCAAACTTCTTTGACAAAACCCTGAACAAAGGATTTGAGGCTCCTCATGTTCCTGGAGCGAGCAGATGCCATTGGGCTACACTAGCACATGACAGGGACAAATGGAGATGTTACTGGCACCAGCTGAAGCAAATCGATGATTAACGGGATGATGAGTGATACAAGTGATGAAATATAAAGAAACAAGACAAAACCAAACAAAAATAACCCCTGGATTCTGAATGCAGAAACGAAGATACCAGAGAAGAAGCTGGGATTGAAGATTATGGAAAGGGGGAGTGACTGATTGAATGAACTGTGGCAGAGGGAGACTGATAAGGTGGTGGGAGACTGATAAGGTTTGATGTAGTGACGTAATTGAAGAAGTGTAAAATTCTAAAAGCAATCTTGTTACCTTGATTACTTCTGTCATCTTGTTACCAGTGTTACCTCAATTCAATTAAAGAATAAAAAAGAAGGAGGTCATTTGCTATGGGCCACAGATTAGTTTTAAGAGCAAAGAGAGGCTGAGTCAGGCATTTGGACTGATTTATTCAGAATTCAAGTGTGTCTGTCTTCTCATGTGCTCAAACTCTTTTTTTAAAAAAATTTTATTTGTGAAACACCATGAGGTACAGTTGTAGATTTACAAATTTTTGTGCATGGGTTTCAATTACACAATGATCAAACACCCATCCCTCCACGAGTGCCCATTTTCCACCATCACGGGTCCCAGTATCCCTCTCACCCCCATCCCCCATCCCACCCTGCCTCTATGGCAGGGTATTCCCTTTTGTTCTCTCTCTCTCTCCTTTTGGGTGTTGTGGTTTGCAAAAGAGGCATTGAGTGGCAATTATGTTTGGTCTATAGTCTACTTTTAGCATGCTTCTCCCATCCTGTGATGACCCTCCCAACACGCTTTATTTGGTGCTCCTTTTTCTATCTGAGCTACCTTTTCCCCTAGAATGTGTGACTGGCCTCCAAGCCATGGAGCAAAACTCCTGGTACTAATCTCGGCCACTCTTGGGTATTAGTCTCCTATTTATGTTCCCCAGATGAATGCAATCTTTCTATGTCTATCCCTCTCTTTCTGACTCATTTCGCTTAACATGATACTTTCCATGTAGTACCACTTGTATGTAAATTTCATGACTTCATCTTTTCTAACAGCTACATAGTACTCCATTGTGTTCATCTGCTCAAACTCTTGAAATAACCTAAAATCAAATGCCTCAGCAACTCTGACATTAGAGCTCTGGAGTTCATGTCCCATCTAAATGAAGGGAAGGAGAGGAAGGTCAGCTGAGAAAAGTGCTTCCTGCCCACTCACCTGTAGCTGTTAGTCATGTGGGGCCTGTTCTCTCCATGCCCGATGTGTCTCATTCTGTGCTTGAGCTTGGAAAGAATGTGCTCTCTAAGCAGAAGTTGTCAATAAAGATATGATTCTCTGGCAGCTCGCATGATTCCCTCCTTGCTTCAAATATTGCCCATAATTGTCACTCATAATATCACGATGATCACGACCATCCTGTTGTTCGTCTATTGCTTCAAGCAGGCCCCAGTAATGTCTCCTTCATCCTAGCCCTGAGATTTTTTTTTAAAAAGTGCCATATTCAAGGCTCTTTCAGGGTTAGGAGAATGGGACCCATCGTTGTTACTGGTATTTGGCATATTGGGTACACCACGGGGAGTTTGCCAGACTCTGCCGTGTGAGCAGGTTATATTCGATAGCCTGCCAGTTTGTCCAAAGTAAAAATGAGATAAGATTTCTCATGGCCGTGAATGCGGCCACACACTTCTGGGAGCTGGGTTTTATAGTCTCTGGGTCTTGGCCATTGATGGGATTACACGGCACCAGGGGGCCAGTTGGTGTAGCTCCTGCCTACTGGAATATGGAGGATCTGGGTGGAGGATGCTCAGCCCCGATCTGAGCAGGCTTGGAGATCTTACCCCGGGACACGCATGCCTTTGTTCCTCTGCCGGTACCTTCATGTGTGTGGATATGTGAATAATATGTGAATGAGATATGACCCTGGATCCCAGGATCTGCCTCAGCTTCAGAATTATTGCACAGTACTTACATTTCCCTGTGATGAGGAAAAAAGTAGTGAAGTTTGAATCAAACTCTTTGACTCTGATCCTGTGACTATGTTAACATTAGACTTGGATGTCTATTTTTATGTCATAATTTTACTGCTGCTAGCCTTTTTAAAGAAAAATCAAACATTTTTTAAAAACACATAACAATATATTGAGTTGTATATATGGTAGTTACTTCCAGGTTGGTGCTTGGGGGTGACTCGTAGTGATGCTTGAGGGACTGTATGGTGCCAGAGATCAAATCTTGGCTTCCCATGTTCAAGGCATGTGCTCAGCCCATTGAGTTCTTTCTAAGGAACTCAAAAGTAATTTTTAATAAAGATGTCACTGAAAATATTAAAACATAAGCATAGAATTTCTCCAAGTTGGGAAATGCTATCACTATAATAAGAGAATATGAAGGATGGGGAAAACATGAGTTATTGTTTTAATAAATTACAGAGGCTCACTGTCTGACCACCCAGGATTACACAAGTAGATGCGTTGCAACAATTGTATATGATAAATACTTCCCATAAGAACTACATTGTCTTCATTCATTTAATCCAGGAAGAGGATCTTCTCCAATCTCTTATTTTTATATTTTATTTTGGTTTGGGGGCCAGACCTAGCAGTGCTCAGGGCTTATTTCTGGCTTTGTGCTCTGGGATTATCCCTGGTGGAGCTCAGAGGAATGTGTATAAAGTGCCAGGGATCAAACTCAGGCTGCCACATGCAAGTAAGTGTCCTGCCAAACTATTGCTATCTATTATCTATCTATCTATCTATCTATCTATCTATCTATCTATCTGTCTATCTATCTATCTATACATACATACATATATGTAGTATTATTGCTCCAATCCCTCCCCAATCTACTTTAGATGAATTGTCTGAGCATGGCAACTGTGGAAACCTGAATGAACCCATCTCTTAGAAATGGTAGGTAGGGCTGCCTGCCTTTCTTTCTCCCCACATATATTTTGTTGATGATTTTATTCTTCTCACTTCTGTCTTCCCACAGTGACATTTAAAATAAGGTACTTGAGAATGTTTATAGTAGATGTTAAGTTGCAAATCTAGCAGGAAATGATATCACATGTGGCAATTTCACATCTCATATTTCCTTAATATTGAATTAATTTTTGAGATACAATAAATAAAGTCTAGCTCTAAAGGGTCAAAATTTTGCTTTCTCTCTCTGCAGAGTATAATATACTATATGATAACTTCCCCTAAACTCTTCTCATGGATAAAAAATGAATCACTTCTGAAGTCCCTGCAGCCTTTTGCCAAGTGGCATTATATTGAGCGCGACCTTGCCATGTTCAACGTTAACATTGATGATGACTATGTTCCATGTCTCCAAGGAATAACACGAGCCAGCTACTGTAATGTGTATTTAGAATGGATTCAGTACTGTGCACGGAAAAGACAAGAGGTGGGTAAAGGAGATATTGGCTGGAAACTTTAAAAGTATAAAGACACAAGGAATGTTGTATCGTTCATCTCTTTTATTCTAGGTTAGACTCTAACAAAACAGAGAACAAACTTTCATGTTTGATTAAATATTTGGCAAAAATATTTGGCAAAATTAAATGGAAGAAATCTTATACCTTGTCTCCCCTAAAGTAGTATAGAATATATGTTTCTTGGGTCTGGAGCGATAGCACAGCAGGTAGGGCATTTGCCTTGCATGCAGCTGACCCAAGTTTGATTCCCAGCATCCCATATGGTCCCCCGAGCACCGCCAGGAATAATTTTTGAGTGTATGAGCCAGGAGTAACTCCTGTGCATCGCTGGGTGTGACCCAAAAACCAAAACATAAAAAAAATTTTAATTAAAAAAAAAGAATATATGTTTCTCTCCATGCTCTGCTCAGGGTCATTGCCGTTTGGTTTGCTAGTTTGGTGGATGGGTGAGTAGTCATACCTGGTAATACTCAGAGGATACTCCTGGCTCTGTGCTCTGGAGTCACTCATGTGGTACTGGTCAGCAAGCACCTTAACCCTTGTAACCTTTGTACTCCACCCTGTGAAGTTTAAAGCTTATATCCAAGATTTAAAACTCTGAAAACTGGGGCCAAAATGGGCTTATCTTGCATGCGGCTGACCTGAGTTTTATCCCCACCATCCCATATGGTCCCCCTATCCCCATATAAATCTCCAAGTAACCTCTGTGCATCACTGGGTGTGACCTCAAAACAAAACAAAATTTTAATTTCTGAAAACTTTTTGCTTAAAGATTCTTTTTGAGATGTCCACACAAGGTATATCTGTGCTGCAATACAGAAGATTCGTTGCACAAATTGAAAGAAGAATATGAAAAGTCAGATAGTCTGAGTTACCTCCACACTGGTCTTCTGCCATTAACACTCATATGCTAAAGATATTTATGGCAATAAATTAGCCTCTGAGCAGTGAAACCAAAAACAATGGGGGGAGAAGAAAGAAAATTGAGACAAAAGAAAGGAGGATGAGGAAAATAGGGTGGGAAGCAAGTGGGTGGTGTCTGCTTGCTTGGCTTCTTGATATTTAAAAAAAGCTAAACCAATGTGTTATACAGAGATGATAGATCCAGTTAAAAGCAACCATTTGGACAGGTGGTGAGTATGTAATATGACCTGTAGAGGGTACAAGGTATGACACGAGTCCAGGTTGTTGATCTTTTCCTGATTTATTAAGATCATGTGCTAGAGGAAGTAGATAGCTAAGTCTAGTTTCTCAGTGCAGGAAGAAGAGAATGTGTGAATGATCTTACCCTTTTTGGAAGTGTGAGATAGCTACAGCCTCTTGATATTCCTGGTTATCTCTCTGATGAGTCCCCTCTTTGTTTTTATTTTTTTATTTTTGTCTTTATCAGTTTTTATTATCACTGTCACTATCATCCTGTTGTTTGTCGATTTACTCGAGTGGGTGCCTCTGATGTCTCTCTTCCTCCCAGACCTGAGATTTTAGCAGGCTCTTCTTACTCGTCTTTTCCCAATGACTAGAGGCTCTTTCAGGGTCAAGGAATGAGACCTGTTATTGCTACTGTTTTTGGCATATCAGATATGCCACAGGGAGCTTGCCAGGCTCTGCCTGTGTGGGCAGGATATTCTCGGTAGCTTGCTAAGCTCTCAGAGAAGTATATATACATATATTTGTATGTAAATATATATAGTGTATATATATCTCTCTATGATTTGTTGTCTACTGTCTGAACCCCATCAAACATGGTGTGGTAATTATGAAATATGGGTAGGAAGTGTCTTATGACATGTCTAATGACCTGTTGAGCCCAGAGTCTAAGGTCACAAAATTCTGCATTATGAAGATGATTATTTAAAAAATTTTATTCAGTTTTTCCATTTATGTTTTTTATTTTTATATTTTTATTTTATAAAGTAGTTCACAATTTGATAACATTTAATATTAGAACACCAATCTCACCACCATTACACCTTCCCCCTCTTTGTTTTTAAATTGTTTCATTTTACCTACATAAAGGTATTTTGACTTTAAACTTCTCCTGCATTCCCGGCCCTCCTTTCCAAGCCGATTTTGGGTGGTTCCCTTTATAAAGTTCTTAATGGTATTCTTACAGTTCATTTAGTATTCTATTCTGTAAAGGGACAGCAGAAAGTCACTCATTTCATTTACACTGTCTCCCTAATCCTCATGTTCGTCCTCTCTCTGTACTGGAGGATATAAGTATTTCTTTTAAACTCATTTTAAGAGCCTCACAAAGCTTTACCTTTATGATTCTGTGTGTGTTTGGCAGCAGGTTGGGGGTGGGGGTGTTGAGTAAAGGGCGGGAGGGAGCATATGGTGGAATCAGTGTGAAAGTTGAATTCACATCCTTACTTTTCAGCCTGCAAAGAATGTGGAAAGTGATGAGGACTCTGCCTTGGTGACTCTGTCATTTGCCCTGTGCATCCTGGGGAGGAGAGCCCTGGGAACAGCAGCTCACAATATGGCCATCAGGTACCTAGGAAGCAGTTGGTAGAGGCACTGTAGTTTGTATTTTTGATGAATATTTTACAATCATTTTATTTTGGGCTGCTTATGCTTCCTTCAGATAGGTTTTTGCCACAATGCCTGCAAGGTCTGTGAGAAGAATTTTGGGGCCTTTGGACCAAAGGCAATATTTTGGAGTATTCAATTTAGCAATGAATTTACTATGGGACACTTGCAGTCTTGAAATAGGGTACAGAGGAATCTAGAGTCCTAGGATCCTAACAGATATTCTGGGAAGATTAAGTCAAGTTGTGCATGAAGTGCCTAGCAGGCATCTACCACAATTAATGTTCGTTAAAAATTGTTCCCTTTTCCTATTTCTCTTGATTAAAAAAAGAACACCATATCTGTGCTCAGACTTAAACCCTAACCTGTATCTGTGGACCTTTGATTAAATAGATATCCCTTCTGCTTTTTTTCTAATTATTTTTAGTATCTCATCCTCCTCCGTCTGCAAAGAGTTCCAACTCTCTCTTCTTAAGTAGCACAAAATCAAACTCTCTCCTGGTACCTTCCTCTCCTTATTTAATTTATCCTAAATTCACAAACAGTCTTTTGAATTTTCCTTCTCAGATGAAATATGCCCAACATTCCCCAGTGCCCTCCTCACAGTTTGGTCTCTGCTTCTGGAACTGGTAAAATTTCTAATTTGAGCAATTTCATCAGTCACCTTGTCATCACTCATATTGGTGGCTATTCCACAGACTTCTTGGAATTTGACCCATTAGAATCACCTCATTAGCACATATTAAAATCTTCTGAGGGACTTATTAATATCTGACACCCTGGGATCAGACCTGACCAAATCAATGATTTCACTGTCTCAATAGCTAGACTAACAGTATTTTTTCTATAGCATCACAGGGAATTTCAGTGTGTGGCCAAGACAAAATCATCCCCCAAAAGACAGGTAAAGGAATAAAAAATATCTTCAACTGACCCTCTTTAGAAAAAGGTTTCTCCTTGGAATTTCTTCAATATTCCTTTATTGTATGGTTCCTGTGGCATTTTGCAAAAGGGGTTCTTCTGATACTTATCTCAAGTGAATTTGGTATTATTGCTTTGCATCACAAGTTTCCTAGGGCAACAGTATTTATTTAAGGATCATTACAACCCCTGACCATTAGGTGGGCAGGGCCAGAGAGACTTGTTGACTATTTCCTTAAGCCCTTCCTGCAGGGGACAGCTGTGAATCATTACTGGTCATTTGCAATTTATGGGAAACCTTAATTATGTGTTGTGAGCTGATAAAGGGTAAAATGGGGTGATTCTCTTCACCACCTCTCTGGAGACTGCAGTTTTGAGTTGCAAAGGAAAAAAAAGGGAAAAACCATGTACTAAGAATTTGTGGCATCAGCTACCCTTTCAACTCCCACTTCTCAAGCTTTTATGATCTTTGTCAATGACACGAAATGCTGACTTGACCCCAAAATAGTGCACTAATATACTACCAGAAAAATATTCTGGGGAGTAGCTGACTGGCTTCTAGTCTCTCTTTTTTCTTCTGCCTGACTCAACCTCATGGTAGACATGAACAATTCCATTTGTGGAATTTCTGTAATTCATTTTTTGATTGTTTGAAGTTCTAGTGAAAAGCTCCTTCTTCATAGCCTCTGTAAACCATGTGATGTGTGGCTCCTACAGCGAGTTCCTTATTAAACTAAATACCTTTCAGAAGCCGACCTGGGCGACCCGGGTTCAATTTCTCCGCCCCTCTCAGAGAGCCCAGCAAGCTACTGAGATTATCCCGCCTGCACAGCAGAGCCTGGCAAGCTACCTGTGGTGTATTTGATATGCCAAAAACAGTAACAACAAGTCTCACAATGGAGATGTTACTGGGCCCTCTCAAGCAAATCAATGAACAACAGGACAGTGCAACAGTGCTACAGTGCTATCTTTCAGAAGGGCTACAGATTCTGAAGATTTTTGATTCAATCTTCAAATTATTTTTTCCAAAGCTTAGCACTGCAGTACTGTTCTCCCATTGTTCATCGTTTTGCTTGAGCGGACATCAGTAATATCTCCATTGTGAGACTTAGGTTTTAAAAATAAAATTTAACTTTTATTTACAAATTACAAATAACATACTTCAAAGATTCTGCTCTTTCAATTCCTACCTAATTTACTTCCCAAGAGGTTTTCAGTCAGATTTTTAGTTGAAGTTATTCAAATGCACCTGATTTACTTGCTTCTTGCTTGGCTTGCTTGCTTTATTTTTACCTTGATGAAGCACCCTGCTTATCAGCTGCTTATAAAAACCTTATTTGAATGGTATTTTCTTTGTTTCAATGAGTAGAGTCAATATCAAACATAGTGATGAGATATATCTGGAACATAGTGATCCAAACATAGTGATGAGATAAATCTGGAAATAATACTCATGCTATTCTAGGAGAAATCTAATTATATGGGACTGGTTAACTTTACTGAGGTCTCTCACCATAGTAAAGTCCTACCACATGCTTTCATTTCAGTCTTTGACATACAAAAGATAATTTATTTTACAAACTGCCTAAGGGCACTGGTTTGGGCCTGAAATCCATGAATTTCCTTATTAGTTAGGTATGTCACGGGTTGCAGAAGGGACATTGAATGGGAAGTTGAAACCTTGCTGGGCCCCTACCTCTCCTCCAACCAAACAGCTGTGTTTTACATTTTCTAAGCTATAGCTCAATGCAAAATTTTTTTTTTCAGAACTCAGAAACATTTTGTCATGCCTTATAGACACAGTCAAGTTATTCTCCAAATAGACTGCCATAATTTGTACCTTCAACAAATGTTTTGCCATGCTGTCCCTAATGCTTTGTATTTATAATTTTTTAATTTTTTCTCATGGGTAAAAAATTAAATTTGTTTTTATATGAAATTTCATTTCTCTTATTAGTCATAAAGCAGATGTTCCACTATGTCATCTTTAATTTCATAGGTGAAAAATTGCACATTGACTTTCATTTAAAATTTGTAAATTTTACATCAATTTCATAAAAATTATACTTTATTTGAAATTTCATTTCTATTATTAATCATGAAATAGACACTTTTCATTAATTCATAGTTATTTTTAGACTCATGAATGAAAATCTATATTGTTTCTATTTGTAATTTAATTTCTATTATTGATAATGAAATTAACACTTCATTTCTCATTTCTATTACTCATATTTTACATATTTATTGGTATCAGTTTTTTCCTGTGAATTCCTCCCCACTGACATACTTTATTCTGCTTTTTCTCAAGTATTTACTGATTTTCTTGAATACTATGCTATTAATATTAGTTTAAAAGTTCTTTTCAAGGGCACTTGCATTATATTTATGAAAATTATTTTTAATTTATAGATTTATATCTTTCTTAAAAATATTTTTGCTCCTACAAGATTTGTAAATACTAACTTCAGGTCAGGGAGGTAGCTGAAATTGCTGGAGCACATGTGTTGCATCCACTTAGCTCTTAATTTGATCCCCAGAACTTTATGGTCTTCCAAGTATCATCAGGTATAGTCTTGGTGTTCCCCAGCATCAGTGGGCCAGGGCCATCAAATATAGACAGCCAAGTCAAAAAATGACCTGCGTGGTCCTGGGCACTGTGAGGACTGCCCCCAAAATACTAGCCCCACTTCTCACCCCCCAAAAAATACTAACCTCAATTTTTCTCTGATGTTGTCTAATTTATATTTCTCATTCATTTATATTATTTCTAGTTAATGTAGCTGACTCGGGTTTGATTCCTCCGTCCCTCTTGGAGAGCCCAGCAAGCTACTGAGAGTATCTTGCCTGCACACCAAAGCCTGGCAAGCTACCCATGACGTATTCGATATGCCAAACATAGTAACAACAAGTCTCACAATGGAGACATTACTGGTGCCTGCTTGAGCAAATCAATGAACAAAGGGAGGACAGTGCTACAGTGCTACAGTAGAATATAATTATTACTCATGAAATTTTATTGCTTCTTTTGTGTTGGGTTGTTTTGGGGGTTATTTATTTATTTTTGGTCCGGTTTGGCTTTTGAGCCACACCAGCAGTGCTCAGGGGTTATTCCTGGCTCTGAGCTTAGGGATCACTCCTGGAGGGCACAGGAACTATAAGGGGTACTGGGACTAACCTTGGTTGGCATGCAAGGCAAGCACCCTACTGCTCTACAATCTCTCTGGCACTGATATATATTTGAATTCTGCCAGGTCTTGAGGTTCAATATAACAGTACTTATTGTTATTGTTTCCTGGATCCCAGTCTTATTTCTCACATCACAACAGCATGAAATAAGTGTATTTGTAGCAGTTTCCCTTGTTTCTGAGGCCACATAGAGGACACAGGACACTTGTTCTCATGATGGGAGAACACTGAATGCAGGAAACTCATCCTTGTGTAGCACTACTGTAGCACTGTTGTTCCTTTGTTCATTGATTTGCTTGAGCGGACACCAGTAATGTCTCCATTGTGAGACTTGTTGTTTCTGTTTTTGGCATATTGAATACGCCGAGCAGGAAAAATTCTCTCGGTAGCTTGCTGGGCTCTCCGAGAGGGTCAGAGAATCGAACCCGGGTCGGCCACGTGCAAGTCAAACGTCCTACCCTCTGTGCTATCGCTCCAGCCCCATCCTTGTGTAGTAGCAAAGAGAATGTTATTTGTCCCTCAAGGATGTCCATTGCAGACAGGACTGAAGAAATGGACTATGCCTAGGCATACCAGTAGGAGATGATGCAAAATGAAAACCAGAAAGTATGAATCCACACTGAATGCACTTTCAAACAGAATGGAGAGAGAGAACCATGTTTTTCTGCCAAAAGGAGAGCTAAGAGGCAGCCACCATAGCTCATCTTTAATGAGTCATCTTCTAAGACAATCATATTGTTTGGTTAGATTTAACATGCAATAAAATATTTATATGTGATAAAAATTTTATCACTGATAACTCATTTTGATAACTGATAAGCCCAGTGACTGTGTCTTTATGTTACTCTGTT